AGTAAAATGAAAGAAACTAGAAACAGTGTTCATACGTAAACGGGATACAGTTTCAAGGCAAGAAAGAAAACATGTCTGTGTAAGACTAAGAATTGTTCATTTTTATTGTTTAAGAAGAAATCCCAGCATGCATCTGTAGGATTTGTCTATAAATTTGGGGAGCGGGTATTTTTAGCAGACATTCCCAGAGATTAGAACCAAATGTTTACCGTAAAAAGGTAAAGAGAAATAGAAAAACAAAGAAGAAAAGAAAAGCTTAACTTGTTTTTATTACTTTGTTTCATCAGAAATATCGAACACTGAAAAATGTGTCCACTGTCCAGCGAATAAAAACAGAATACTATATTAAACATATAACGATCAAAGGCTGATAACATTTAGGTCTAAGAGCCACTAATTTTCTTATAAAAGACCTTCAGATGGAAAAATTCAATAAACCAAATTTAGATCAAATAATCAAAACTGACAATGCTTCATTTAAGTAATTCGAATATTACGAGTAATCAAGCTGATTTAAGTCAAAAAGCGCAGACCAGAAATCTTACTTATTATAAAACGCAGAATGTGTGTGTGTGTGTGTGTGTGTGTGTGTGTGTGTCTGTACGTTTATATATTGGATCGGATTTCCTCCATTTTTCAACCGATTTCAACAAAACTTCACAGGACTGAGTAAAATTACCTTGCGGTGGTTCTGACAGCGCCAAAAATTGGAAAAACACAATTGTTTTTGCACGAAATCAATTCGAAAACACGATAAAACACGATTATGTCGCCAGAATGAAAGGGAGACAACTCATATCGAGTTACACTTATTATAAAAACCCAGTGTGTGTGTGTGTGTGTGTGTGTGTGTTCGTTTATATATGGGATCGGATTTCCTACATTTTTCAACCGATTTCAACAAAACTCCACTTTTTTTTTTTGGCAGGTAGTGTTTCTTATTGTCTTGCACACTTTTTTTTTATTTTACATTCAGAATGCTTTAAAAATTCCATTTACAAGACAATTGTTTATAATAAAATTCTATTCAATCAATAGACTCATAACGATTGAAAACAATGTTTTTGTTTGAGTTTGGGTTTGACCAATTAGTAAAAAAAAAACAACAAAACAAAAAAACTAATTAAGACATGCGTGTCCGTCAACCTTAAACAATAATCTTTGTCAATTTTATTTTTCTGTCTTTATGATGGTCGATACTTGATCTATCTGTTACTGTTACATCCCCGGGCAACGCCGGGCTCTCCTGCTAGTAATGAATAAACCGCCAATAAAAAGCAAATATGAAACAAAAACATGTCCAAAAGAATATTACGAATAAACTATGCTTCATCTAAGAAATTTGTAAACTGGGAGAATACTTTTATTTAATTCCATGATCCTTCAAGACGTAGGCAATTATGAGTCTTTACAGTTGTTTCTTTTATTTATTATTATTCGGTCGACCTATAGCTCGGACATTCATTAGACTATTACGCCAACAATCACTGTCCTGCATCAAAGTTGGGAGGTCATGTAGGTGGTTGCTGAGCGAACAACACGTCTTGCCACCTGTGAATATCTATTATTTCATGGGAAAGAAAGTGGTTTTCCGGCGCCTTCTGTGCGATTTGAATTTAGTCTTCTTTCTCTTAGATTGGTTGTCATACAAATCTAGAAACACCAGTCTAATGCATAGCTGGAGGAAAGAAAGATGGATTCAGGGCTTTCCCAATGGCATAAGTGCTAACAGTATTAGTGTAATACAAAAAAAATTTAGAGAAATACCCCTATAAAAAGATTAATAATAATTAACAGCTAAGATATACAAATCATGATACATTTTATGCTATTGGCAAGAATTATTGTGTTTATAATATAAACCAATTGCAATGACAAGTGTGAAGGAAAAAGCTGCTGGTGTTAGTTTTATTAAAATTTTATGGATAAAAACACGGCCATATTATGTTAAAAAAAAGTCTTGAAAAGCTTCCTCGACACAAAGACCGTTTGTTAAGTTAAAATGTTGTTTATAAAACAACATGGAAAATAGCACAAATACGTGTTCTTCACATCGCCATGAAGTTAAGTTACAATCGTCAAATTACAAGTCCCTTTGAATTTAATGACAATAGTCTATTCATAACAGATTTGATTGTATTCATGAGAAAGTGGACTGGAATTTGTAAAAACATTTCACACACACACACACACACACACACACACACACACACACATATATATATATATATATATATATATATATATATATATATATATATGCGAAGAGGCGATGAACCGATCTCAGCCGACTCACTTTCAGAATTCTTAAAAATAAAACAGAACAGATTTTTCGTGATTAGAGTTTTTAGGTCTGGCAGCGAACTTTTCAACACCAATCGTATAATCCTCGTTATCAAGTTAATTAACCCTCTCCCTCTTATGGAGTGTGATTTCCTTTGTATTTTCGTCAGTCCAGTGGTTGTCGTTTATTTCGTATACCGAGAGCTGCTCTAGCCTTAGTGCCTGGGCATTTATATTATAGCCTATGCCATAGCTATGCTAATCAGGCAGTCATTTACATATCGCTACATCTCCCTTCCTTGAAAATGACTTAAGTATTAACCGAAATTATCAACAATTTTTCCACTCACTCAGTGAGAACTTGTTAGGAGACAAGAAAAATTAAATGATAAAAACTTACAAGATATTCCTTGTCCGTCATATTTAACGAAACATACACACATACACACACACGTGTTTGTCATTCACATACAGACTCGGCCAGTTCTTCAGTGTGGCTAGACATCCGATTGCTTCAAGCTAGGATCGAAGCAGTCGGAGATTTTTCCCCTAAGCCATTGGCACACAGTTGAAAGAAAGGCGAATTTTTACGTACTTATTCTGTGAATAAACACATGTATGCGTGCATGTGTTTAATTATGAAATAATACAAATAATAGGTTTTGGGGGGAATCTCCGAAATTAAGCAACGTCAAGCCCGGTCAACACCAAGATGGGTGACCGCTTCGGAATACCACGTGCTGTTAGATTGTATGTGCGGGTTTTTGTTTATTTTTTTTTCCTCAATAGTAAATAGATTAGCCTATCGTCAGGTTCACACTCTTCCCCGGACTTTTGAACAGGAGTAGAGGTTTATCCCATGTTTCCTGTTTAGAATTGGGTTTCCTGTTCCTTCTAATGTCTTCTCATTCTCTTTCACACCCGATAACTCCTTCCGTCTCAGTGAAATTATCGCCTTGTTTGGGGTGAAATGATTAAAAAAATTGTAGCCTCAAAAGTTGCTAGTAGTAAAACTCGAAATTTAGTTGCGCTGGCGTTTCAAAAGTAGCCCGAATGTGATAACCTTGGTTTGTAATCAATATTAAAAGTGAATTTTGAATGTGTTTTTTTACGGTTTATCAACACTTTGTGGTTTATTTAAAGCCAAAACATATTTTGGATTGTAAAAATCCTTTTTTTTATTTCGTAGAGAAAAATTCATTAATATTTTTTAAGAATAACAATGAATTTTTCTTGATACAAGTCCTACTATTTAACCCATGGCTAGGGGGGAGTGCATACCTTTCCCAAGCGTACTTGCGCATAAGTGAATGTAACAAACCCGACTGGAATATCCAATACAACAATCGCACATCCTTTAGATTAGGAAACAAAAATATGTATGGACAAGAAGTGGGTATCCAATTTTGTATAACAACTAGGTTATAAATTGGTCCCTCATTTCTTGGCCGGTGTGGAGTCTATACATTACATTATTTTAGAGAAAATGAAAATAACTCTGAAAGTTTTTGTTATCAATATTAGATTAGCCTTGATAGAGTCCAAAGTCGTCTACGCGGGCTTGTAGGAGGGGGGCGTCTATATTTCCCAACTCGCAGCCTCTTTCCCTACAGATGTAATGTTGCAAGCCTGTTGCTAGTCTATCACTATTTCCATAGCAAATGTTCGGACGACCTCCATTCATTAGTTCCACTAACTCAGATATTTTACATTTACGTCACTCACCTACCCGTATTCCATTTGCAAGGAAAAATTTGCACTCGAATAGTTTTTTTTTTCCCAAATCGCCGCCTCCCTCTGTCTTTTTTACAAATATCTTCATAGTAACGGCTCCGATGAGCTGCTTTCGCTGGTTCATGAATTTAAGCGTTCAACAAGGCTGGCATCTCGCTCTCAACCTTTCACTGTCGAAACTGTTAAATGTAGCCGTCTCTTCTACTTCAATAGCTTCATGTCTCGCACTTCTCGCCTGTGGAACTCCCTCCCCTTTTTTTTGTTTCCCTGATAGCTATAATCTCCAACTATTCAAATATAATGTCAATCGACGTCTCCAGATGCCTTGATCTATCCCTTATCCTTCTATTCATCCTTTCCTCTATCACTCCTCTTTGCTCTCACTCCAACTCTCTGTAACCTCTTGCGTACAAGTGGCTTCCCGCCTTGCTTGGGGTGAAACGCTTAAAAAAAAACCCAAAAAAAACAGAAGTTTTGTGAAACAGACTCTTGTGTGCATACTTTCTCGAATGCTACCATCTGAACCTCTTCAAGTCTAGAGTGAATCGTTACCTATGCTCCATATTCACATAATTCTCACTTCCCACTTCTTTCACATATTAATATCAAATTCCTCATTCAGTAACCCTCTACCTTGAGTGGCTCTTGAGACTTATATTGGTTAACCATTAATAAAAAAAATAATATGAATATATCCAAAGTCATTTTGTGCTATAATCAAGTTATTTCTTTGACAAAGATCTCTGTGAAATTTCAACAGTCGAACGACGAATATCGTCGACATTTCGTAATTTCAGTTCAGGATGTTAAAATGTCACACTATTAAGAAAAAAAAAATAGTAAACAAACACAGATAAATAATCACAAGAAAATTTTAGTTCCATTAAAAAAAAAGTGACCGATAATTTTTCATGACAGACAGGACTTAGCATTTATTTGATAAATAATAAATATAATTATTTAAAATAGCACAATGTACTTACCAATTTAGTCCACAGACGCCATTGCTTGAGAAGAGCTGAGTTGGAGGAATTCGAACGGTGTGGCGGCGGCGGCCTTGTCTTGACTCCTGTGGGTTTACCGATAGAGGGCGCAGTCGGTTGTCTTCTCATTATGTTACTTGTCCCGTAACTCATATCATTCCTGACGTTAGGGAATTCTTTTGAAAACGGCGATAAAAAACGAAAAGTTATTACCAACACCAGTTTTTCATATTTTTTGTGTCCATTTTGTTTTCATTATGTGACGTTCATCACATTAAGAATATTTAGATTTTTGTTTTTTAGATAATGTCGTCTGTCTTCATTCTTTTTATGTCTACTTGTGCGCATGTCTGCGTAGGGTCGAGTCAGTGAGTGTATAAGTACTTATCTATAATCATACACACGCACATATATTCGTGCACTGGCACACACACGCGCACACAAGAGTTTATGAGTGCGTCTGCGTGTGTGTGTGTGTATGCATCCCAAAAAGGTATACATAAAATGTGTGTGTAGTGTCCCCCAAAATATATAAATCAAATTTATGTGTGTGTGTCTCCAAAAATGTATGCATCAAATTTATGGGGGTATGTATGTGTCTGTGTAGTGTTCCCAAAAATGTATACATCAAATTTATGAGTGTGTGTGTAGTGTCCCCAAAAATGTATAAATCAAATTTTTTCAAGGATCAGGTGTAACATGGATTTCTCGATTATCTGAAGAAAAGGTTCTTTTTACGGTTTATCAACCCGTCTGCGTTTTATTTAAAGCTGAAATGTATTTTGCATTGTAAGAATTTTTCTTTTTTTTTTTTTTGCGAGTGAATATTGCAATAACATTTCTTGTCAGTAACAACGGTTTTTCCAGGTACAAGTCCTACTATTTAATCCATTGCTGGGGGAGGAGATAGATTTATACCTTTCACAAAAGTATTTACGCGTAAGTGAATCTAGTGAACCCGACTGGAATTCGAACCCTGCTCTCCGATTTCTCATTCCGATTCGGTTTCCATTACTTCAGCCGCACATTCTCCCTGAAGAAAAGAAGCTTTATGATGTAGAACCTCTCCATTTTCATCGGGATATAAGGGATTTTATTTTAACTCTTTTAGTCATAATGTTCAGTGATTCTTGTTCTATTCGTTCGTGTTCTTAAGCAAGTGGAATTTTAAAAGTCGTGTTTATTGATGATTTAACGAATTCATTCATATATTAAATATATATATAAATTGTTGCGTAAAATGGTAACAGTAATATTAGTCGTTCCCTTCTAAGGAAACATTCTGCATTCATTGACCAAGAAGCCAGTACTACTGTCGGTTGAAATTATAAAATCTCAAAACAATCTTTCAGGAATATGCTTCTCAAGTCCAGTAGCTATTATTACTTTTTCTAAAGCAGTGCACAGTGGTAAGAAAGACTTTGAATAGAATCATAAAATCAACGGAAATATTCGCAAGGATGTTGATGTTAATTCCCTTCAAAATGTTGCCACAGAATTTGATCAAACGTGTAATGAATGTGGTTGCGTTTGTCTAGTTACGGCAGTCCTGAACACGCCACACAGAGAGAAGTCATTCATTAAAAGTTATACGGCATTCATATAACAATTACTGCAAAAAGTGCTCAATGTTGCCACATCTGTGCGGGAGAATGTAAGACCCTAGCAGAACTTAAAAGCCACATCCGCGCTGCTTATATTTGAAGATAGATCAAGCGATGACATTGCTCAAAATCGAGTCACGACGTGGATGGATGCATGTGTGTATGTGTTTAAGTGTTCGTATTTATGTATTTATGCGTATTTTATCTGTATATATGTCAAAAATATGCATATATATATATATATATATATATATATATATATATATATATATATATATATATACATACATACATACATATATATATGTATATATACATACCCAAGTATAGGATTGGTGTATACGGAATAAATTCCAATAACCAAAAATACTATTCTTAATAGAGTGCTCAATACAGAGTAGAGCAAATATAATTTATTCGAAAATTATAACATAAATATGTCATAAAATCACTACAAAAATAGCCATTTTGTTTCAACACTTCTGGTGTCTTATCAAGTGATAGTGTTGAATAAATAGTTTTAAAAGGCTCAAATTGACCAGTCATCCCTCTATAGGAGAAACGCTATTACATAAGCTAACAGAATTTCCCCTATCGAGGGGTGTCTGGTCGATTTGAACCTTTTAAAATTCTTTATTCTACATTCAACACTATCACTTGAAAAAAACACCAGAAGTGTTGAAACAAAATGGCTATTTTTGTAGTGATTTTATAACATATTTATGTTATAATTTTCGAATAAATTATATATATAATCCGATTTTCACTCACCCCGTCTTTTGAACAACAGTAGAGGTCTATCCTTTTTTTCTGTTTAGGATTGGGTCTCCAGATCCTTCAAAAGTCTTTTCATTCTCAATAGCTCCTTGCATCTTAGTGGCATTATTGCCTTGCTTGGGATGAACTGATATATATATATATATATATATATATATATGTGTGTGTGTGTGTGTGTGAATGTGTGTGTGTGAATGTGTATATGTATATCGGTTCATCTAAGTGGCAGTTCTTGTTAAAGGTTTGCCAAAAAAATGTTTAAAATTTTAACACAAATTTACATTTATACGCAGACTTGAACGTAATATAATATTCACTACACAGTTTCATACCGTGAACAATAAATAAATTATATTTTCAATGAACTGAAGAACTTAGTAAATTTATTGTTTTTATTTAATGCAATTTCATCCTATCAAAATTGAAACTCAAATTGCATTTATCACCCAACATAATTATCACAAAATTGCAGAAAGCTTAAAAATATTAGTTTTATTTATTGCTGGATTTAAAATTGATGTAATTGTACTTTGAATCTGGCGCCGAATTGGGACATTTTTTTATTTCTTTCTTTCATCAACTCGACTTTCTTTGTTTAGTTTGGTTTTGGTTTATTTGTTTAACGGCATATCAACTTCTTATGGGTCATTTAATGCTGAAATTTTATTTTCTTGTAATGTCTGGTAATTTTTTTTTAATGTATTGCTGGTAATTTTTTCTAACGTATTTTCCATGTATTGACCCCAGTTTGGATGTTCACTATTTACCCATATCTGGGACCCTTCCATGTGTTACGACCCTGAGTAAGGGTGGACCTGGGAACAACATCAATTAAGAGGTAGTCCCACGCTCTTCAAAACTGCTCGATAAAAAGCCTTGCTGTAGGTTATCGTCATAACCACGACGGCATTTCATTGTAGTTTCGGCTTACGACCATAGCATTTGATTGAAGTTTCGGCTTACGACCATAGCATTTTCAATCTCCGGTTCTCGTACGATCACTGAAGTTAAGCAATCTCGAGCCTGGTCAATACCTAGATGGATGACCGCTTGGGAATACCAAGTGCTGTAAGTATGCATGTGCGGGTGGTGTAGTGGATAATGGTTCTGAATTGGAAATTGGAGAGCCGAGTTCGTAATATTCACTTATGCGCAAATACCAATGGGAAAGGCATGAACCCATCTCTTCCTCCCGTTATGGGTTAATTAGTAAGACTTGTATCAGTAAATTGTCGTTCTTACGATCTAAAAATATTTTCTACCTTTAAATAACCTATAAAAAGGTTGATAAACAAACAGTAAAAAAAAAATAAATAAATCGTAGTTTCATATTTTATATATTCAGAATTGGACATGCTATCGTTAGATATTTCAGTGAGCTTTTTTTCGAAATGGTCTTCATTTTCTTAAGAATTTGCTGAACGATATATTCCTGTAATTCAATTTAAGAGTAAAGCTGCAAGGACAGAAATTCAACCATTCTATTTAGCCACTCCATTTTCTGGGTATTATAAACCTAATGTCTTCAGCATCATTTTTTACCAGTGCTCATATTGCAATTTTTGCTGTTATTATTACATGTTTTTCCCAGAGCTCATGTTGAAATTTTTGCTGTTGTTATCGCTTTTCTCTGGCACTCCTTATTACGGGTAAATGTAAATGGTCTACAATGATTTGTTGTCACCTGTCAAGTAGCGCTTCGATAACTTTTGTGTAAAATTTCGCGGGCTTTGATATAACAAGTTTTCGACGACATCTTGAATCCGGTTTTCATTAGAGAAGCTCCCCCCCCCATCAAAGCGTTTTGCAACGATTGGAAAAAGTAATAATCGGTTGATGTAAGTTTAGCTGAATAACAGCAGGTAAGGTGGAATAAACCAACCGATTTTCTTTTAATCCCCTGTGTACGCTGCTACAGCTGCGCAAAAACGAAGATATGCTAATGTTCCCAAAATTTATTGTTAACAACCACGTATGATTAGTATTCAGGATGATATATTCTTTATTACAATTGGTTTCAAAGAACGGAAATTACTTATGTCTATACCAATATGTAAGTTAATATAAGTTATTTATTATCTAAGTGTGAAGACGTAATTGATTCCAACTCAAAAGATTCAGGGATTCGGTAGATTATACACTCAGTCCCTTGGTAAAAAAAAAATTAGTGATGTCAACGAACACTCGTTGCAACTTTTGTGATGTTAACGAATGCTCGTTGTCACTTTCGTAATACTCGTTGTAGTAGAGACTTTGTAATCACAGATACAACAAGAATAACTCCGTTGAACAATACTGATGTCAGACGCCTTCGAATGACATTCGCACTAATAATACTTGCTCGATAATACTCGCTCGAATAATAATCCATATAGTGATCCGAATAGAGAAATAGTATATTGAATAGAATAGAGAATAGCGGTTTATATGGTAATAGAGGATAGACTAGGAATGACGATCCGAATAGGAATGGAGGATAGAATAGAAATAGCGATCCTTAGTCGTCAGCTACTTCCTACATATATGCGTTTACTCTATGGTCACGTGTTCTACTTAATTCAATAATGGGATCGCCTGTGTTTGTTCTCTGGCAATTTATGTTCAAACTCAAGTGTCGGCGGCGATACTTTTTTTTTCCTATATAACAAAAAAAAGCGTAATTGTCGTACAGACATTAATGATAACTATTTTTAACCCGTGAATATTACACGGTTTCCCTGTTTTCATTTTCTGTTGAATCTTAATTTTTCAGTTAATGATTGAATCAGCTCATGGCGAGTTTTACGACAGTAAAATATCCGTAGAAATTCCCCTGTTTCATTGTTAAATATTTGAACTTAACAACTTCAACAACATATTGTAATAACAATCATAAATATGAATATTGGTCGTTATTTTAAGAAGTGGGTACAAATGAGGAAATTTAAATTGACAACTTTTTTCCATTTCACTAAAACAGGCATTAAACACTTGTATCTTCCTTCCTTTCTATCTTTCTTTCTTTCATCAACCAGTGTCTTTTCGCCTCTTTCCACGCGAGCAAAACGGAATAGCCTATTATTGGCAGGTCGTAACGGTCGTGCAAGCTAACGAAGGTTGCGACAAGCACAATTATAATACGATAATAAATGCTCAGATGTTACATCAGACGTTGCTGTCATGGCTTTCGCTTTTAACTGATTAGAGGCGTTAACATGTATATGTTTTGTCTTAATTCATTAAGATGGGCTACGGTAAATATCCCGTTCAGTACAAGAGATTTGTTTTTCAGTTGCCTGACTATAACCAGTTGAGGATGTCCTCTAGATGCTGTCGTACTGTGAATATCTGGTCATAAGCAGGAGTAGCAGGGGATGCATATTGGCCTGATGTCGAAAGATTGTTTTTTTGTTTTTAGTTTGATGGATTAGACAGCCCGGACGACTTAGAAATCACATCTAGATACTTGATATTTCCTCTCCTCCTTTTTCCCTCTTTTTTCTTTTCGTTTCATCCTCCTTTTTTCCTTCTTTCGCTTTTCATTCTTCTTTTTTTCTCTCGTTACTTATTCTTCAACTGTTTTTTTTTTTTAATATATTTGTTCTTCTCTTGCTCTTTCGCAGTGACTATCATCTCTGGCAATGATTTTGTCTCGGGCACGATTGTTTGCAGAGAATAGTATGAGTTCTCTCCCTTGATAATATGATTTGTCTCAACAAGTGATAAACAGACGGCTGCCTTTTTTATTGTCAGCCTTGACAGATGGAGTTTAGTGTATGCGTCAAAAAGGAGGTCGTATTTTTTTTACTTGTGTATTTATAATTGACAAGTGACAACCGAGGAACTCTGCAGAATTTAAAATGGTAAACACCCTCGACGACCAATACTGGAAGCATTTTATAATTTTTTTTTTTCTTTTTCTTTTTGCATTGAAGTGTTTCATGTTTATACAAAGTTGAAACAATGCAAGTCTTAATGAGATCGGATTAGGTCAATGCCACACGATAGCTTTCATTAGTGAAGTCCACAATAATCGTTTTTACTTCTTTTTTATCTTTTTTTATTGTTTATGTTATTTTCTTATTCTTTTTCCCTTGCATTTCTTTTTTTCTTCCTCTACTTCTTTTCTGGTATAATAAATCTTCTTTTTTTTCTACTAATATTTCTCTTCTCTTTCTTTTACTTCTCTGACTTTCTTCTGGTTATTCTTCTTTGACCTTCTTCTTCATTTAGTTTCCTTTTTCATTATCTTTCTTCCCCTCCCCTCCTATTCCCTATTCTCTTCTTTCTCCTATTCTCCTCTTTCATTTCTTCCTTCTGTACTCCTTTAACTTTTATTCTATTTTCATTTTTCTTCTTCTTTTTCCTCTTCCCATTAAACTGATTCTTTCTCTCACCTTCTTTTCTCCTTCCCTTCTTTCCCACATTTTCTTTTTCTTTTCATTCTTTTCTCTTTCTTTCTCACTTTTTTCTTATTCTTTCCTTTACTCTTCTTTTCCCTTCTTTTTCTTTTTTTATCCTTTGCCCCCTCCTTTCCATTCTCTTTTTCTTCTCATCCTCTTCTTCTTCTTTCGCTTGCTATTTTTTTCTTCTTCTTCTTCTTCTTCTTCTTCTTCGTCCTCCTTCTCCATCTTTCCTTCTTCTTCTTCCTCTTGGTCTTCTTATTATTATTTCCCTTACCCCTGTTTTCCTTTTTCTTCTTTCTTTTCCTTCTATTTTCTCTTCTTCTTTTTCCCCATCTCCCTCTTATTCTTATTATCCTCTTCTTTTTTCCGTACTCCTCTTTTCCTTTTTTCTTCTTCTTCTTCTTCCCCCCTCCTTTTATTATTATTCTTGTTCGTCTTTCTCTTACTCCTCTGTTCCCTTCCCTTACTCCACTTTTCACTTTTTCTTCTTTCTATTACTTCTCTTTTCTCTTCTTCTTCTTCTCATCCTCCCCATTCTTCTTTTTCCTTATTCCTCTTATCCTTTCTTCTTCTTCTTCTTCTTCTTCCCATCCTCTTCTTTTTCTTCTTTCACTTACTCCTCTGTTCCCTTCTACTTCCTCTTCTATAGAATCTGCCACCATTCATCAGTCTTTGATCTATTCTTACTTTCTTGTCTTTACCTTCATTTTTCACAAATTCCATTGAATCCCAAATCAAATCAGTGAGATGAACCTGTGTTGCCTCCTTCTAAAGGGATTTGGGGAAAACACCGGCCATCTATTAATACGAGATATCTCGAGAAAGAATGTCGATTACCGGTTGTACAGCCTTTATGAAGCTTAATAGGTGATCAAAGTGAACCAAAGTAACCCCACACTCTCATGTGGGGTTACTCAGTCGGTCATATGCTATTAAGATTTTGACCGACTCAATGCATGACATTTTGCTTGAAATTTTGCCATTGATTCGAATGCTTAAGTTTTTCTGTGGCTGGTGGGAATTCATGAAGAAAACCCCAAATAAAATGTTGGTACAAATGTTTCAAACTTACCCTAGAATGTCTTGAAAGCGATCCATAATGTGTTGACACAACTATCGATAACCTACTGTATGGGAAATTTAAATAAAGAGCAGTTAATCGTATTATATATACATGACGTATACACCGTAAACGCCTCTTTATATGTGTTTTTTAATACCCAGTAATCATAAGAAATTAAAATATTCTTATATTTTATTGAATTTTAGGTAGTTTGGCTTTATAAGTCTTACTTACAAAGACGCCTGTTGAGAAAATGTTAGAAAATTACCAATAAATTTTAAATTTGCTATAGTTACTATTCTTATTTTCTGATAATGTACGTCCGTAATTGACGTCCGTATTTACAAAAATTGACACGTTTATACTCACACCCACAAAAAATTCATAATTCTTTCTAAAATACCAGGATCGATGAATTGAAAGCTTTTCCATTTATGATTAGTAAACAAAATTTTTTTTTTTATTTAAAAACAATATCACTTGACCGCTACAAATTAATACAGAATTTTAAAAGTTTATAAATTATTATATTAAAATGAAAAAAAAAATTACTTTATTAAAGTGAAAAAATGAAAACAATTCTTATAAAAATTCATTATTCATCAAAATTTTTTTTTTCTTAAG